CGGAGGCATGGCGGCCTTCTTCGCTGCATGTTGGTTCAGAGCTCCTTGCCACTGTAAGTAGCTGTGATTTTTCACGAACCGTTGTGACTTCCGTAAAAAGTTGACATCAGAACTACACAGTCACCGCCTTTAGTCACCACCCCGAGCACTGCCCAGTCCCACTCTCCTTTTGCCAAACCCCAGACAACATTGCGGAAACATGTCGAAAAGGTTAACTTTAACCACGAAACCAGATCAGCCAAGCTGTAACGTTACACTCTCACTCAAAGGATGGACAATCCTGTGAGGTGGATCACATCTAACATGTAAAGACAAACTCACCGTGTCTATCTAGTCATGATGAAGATGTATATACATTTCAATTTCAGCAGGCAACTATTTTTACAGCTACATTATTGTTCCAGCCACAATTAATCACAACAATGTATATACAATTACAAATGATTATATATAAATTGTCAGTTTGTTGTTTTATACACATGCACACAGACATTATTTCATACACGACATAATCGTGAGATGCAAGAAACAGACATATGGCAAGAAATCTGTAGACGCGCCCACAACAACAAAAGACAATACTTTATTGAACCTTTTCTGATAAGAAGTGTGTGCTGCAAACGCGAGCATTTTTGACAATCGTTTCGGTCCAGTCTGCTTGTTTTATCGCGTTTAACCACAGCTGTCGTCGTTTTTTTGTCTTGCAGTGGCAGCAGATATGTGATCAAATTTCTAATTTGAGGCTGTATTACGTCGATTCTGGCACCCAACATCACAACAAGATGATATTTTAAGCTCCTTATATAGCCGAATCTGCGCTGGTTTGAATGGGCCGCCTCCAGTTTCCCCTTTGTTTTGCTGCCTCCAGCTAGCGCTGTGACGTCGGCTGACCCTAGTTACCTGTGGTTGGCCTGGCCATGCGTCACTCAGAAAACAACAGGCCAATTAGAAGAGAGGCTCATGAATATGAATTAGACAGCCAAAATCGACCTGTTCTCAGCAGAGCTCCTTAGAAATGTGCTGTAATCTAAAATCTTTAAGTATATTCCAAGTTTTTGTTTTGGGATTTCTCTGCAACACTGTTTTTCTCCACCTCTTCAAGGTCCCGATTAGTGGGTCTCCATACGAATACATCTTCAATTCAGGGCAGCTAAACAAGCATGAGTTTGTTAGGCAACAAGTGCAGCATTGTGGGTCCTCCTTTGTGTCAGGCTCTCTCTTTCTGTGGACCGCTCCGTGACTCAGCATGCTGTTAATGAGAAAAGGCTTGCCAGTCATACGTTGCCAGGATTCATTCACCCTGGAACTGATGGGAGAAGTGTTGCGGAGGCATGGCGGCCTTCTTCGCTGCATGTTGGTTCAGAGCTCCTTGCCACTGTGTAGGCAGTCAATACTCACATTCATTGAGTTTTGCTGAAGCACAGAGACTTAAGCCAGGTGGCTAGATATTAAAAAAATTTTTTTTTTTACTTCTTGCCCTTATTACCTTTAATGAGGAGCATTTTTTACATTTTAAATTCATTCTGAGACTGCTGTTGTTGGCCCATCTGGAATCAGTTTATTAGCCCTCTTGTTTTTCACAGTTTACTGCGTCTTTCCTTTATTGCCTCTTTAGTATCTTTGTAACCTTTACTTGAACTTAACTGTTTTTTCTCAAACAAAGATAGTGTACGGCTTCAGAGAAGTTAGAATTATGGAATTCTTACGAAAAAAAAAAAAACACTGTAATTTTTTTTGTGTTTCACAGAAAAAAGCCAATCATACGAGTCTGGAATAATATTGAGTAAATATGTCAGAATTTCATTTTCAGGTGAACCAACCTTATAAGGTTGTCTTTCTCCTAAGGCCAACTTTGTACACGGGCGACTGCCAACAGTGAGCCAATACCTAACTTGGCTTAAGACGGCCTCTTTTCTATCATATTTTCCTTCTGAAAATGCATTTCATGTATTGAGCAACTGAGCAATATCAGAGGACCCATGCTGGAAGGACATTTTGAGCGCTCTCTCTCTCTCTCTCTCTCTCTCTCTCTCTCTCTCTCTCTCTCTCTCTTTATCTCTTCAACTGTTTTATTTCTTGTGCAACACACTTGAAGAACGCGGTTAAGACAGCTGACTCTACTGTGATGTGACCCTGTCTCTCTCTTCGGCTCCCTCTCGCTCTCTCTCTCTCCCTCTCTCTCGCGCTCTCTCTCATATATACCTGCGCTAAGTATGAACAAGAGTCACGGAAGTTCACACAGATGATCCCTGAACTCATCTCGGGTTGATACAAAGTTCATCCTCTTCTGTCCATTAAACTTCCAGTTTTAGATGAGAGAGAGAAAAAAACTAAAGCAGAATGAAAGAACTCCATTACAAAAGGTGTCTTATACATTTCAATTTCAGCAGGCAACTATTTTTACAGCTACATTATTGTTCCAGCCACAATTAATCACAACAATGTATATACAATTACAAATGATTATATATAAATTGTCAGTTTGTTGTTTTATACACATGCACACAGACATTATTTCATACACGACATAATCGTGAGATGCAAGAAACAGACATATGGCAAGAAATCTGTAGACGCGCCCACAACAACAAAAGACAATACTTTATTGAACCTTTTCTGATAAGAAGTGTGTGCTGCAAACGCGAGCATTTTTGACAATCGTTTCGGTCCAGTCTGCTTGTTTTATCGCGTTTAACCACAGCTGTCGTCGTTTTTTTGTCTTGCAGTGGCAGCAGATATGTGATCAAATTTCTAATTTGAGGCTGTATTACGTCGATTCTGGCACCCAACATCACAACAAGATGATATTTTAAGCTCCTTATATAGCCGAATCTGCGCTGGTTTGAATGGGCCGCCTCCAGTTTCCCCTTTGTTTTGCTGCCTCCAGCTAGCGCTGTGACGTCGGCTGACCCTAGTTACCTGTGGTTGGCCTGGCCATGCGTCACTCAGAAAACAACAGGCCAATTAGAAGAGAGGCTCATGAATATGAATTAGACAGCCAAAATCGACCTGTTCTCAGCAGAGCTCCTTAGAAATGTGCTGTAATCTAAAATCTTTAAGTATATTCCAAGTTTTTGTTTTGGGATTTCTCTGCAACACTGTTTTTCTCCACCTCTTCAAGGTCCCGATTAGTGGGTCTCCATACGAATACATCTTCAATTCAGGGCAGCTAAACAAGCATGAGTTTGTTAGGCAACAAGTGCAGCATTGTGGGTCCTCCTTTGTGTCAGGCCTGTGGACCGCTCCGTGACTCAGCATGCTGTTAATAAGAAAAGGCTTGCCAGTCATACGTTGCCAGGATTCATTCACCCTGGAACTGATGGGAGAAGTGTTGCGGAGGCATGGCGGCCTTCTTCGCTGCATGTTGGTTCAGAGCTCCTTGCCACTGTGTAGGCAGTCAATACTCACATTCATTGAGTTTTGCTGAAGCACAGAGACTTAAGCCAGGTGGCTAGATATTAAAAAAATTTTTTTTTTTACTTCTTGCCCTTATTACCTTTAATGAGGAGCATTTTTTACATTTTAAATTCATTCTGAGACTGCTGTTGTTGGCCCATCTGGAATCAGTTTATTAGCCCTCTTGTTTTTCACAGTTTACTGCGTCTTTCCTTTATTGCCTCTTTAGTATCTTTGTAACCTTTACTTGAACTTAACTGTTTTTTCTCAAAAAAAGATAGTGTACGGCTTCAGAGAAGTTAGAATTATGGAATTCTTACGAAAAAAAAAAAAACACTGTAATTTTTTTTGTGTTTCACAGAAAAAAGCCAATCATACGAGTCTGGAATAATATTGAGTAAATATGTCAGAATTTCATTTTCAGGTGAACCAACCTTATAAGGTTGTCTTTCTCCTAAGGCCAACTTTGTACACGGGCGACTGCCAACAGTGAGCCAATACCTAACTTGGCTTAAGACGGCCTCTTTTCTATCATATTTTCCTTCTGAAAATGCATTTCATGTATTGAGCAACTGAGCAATATCAGAGGACCCATGCTGGAAGGACATTTTGAGCTCTCTCTCTCTCTCTCTCTCTCTCTCTCTCTCTCTCTCTCTCTCTCTCTCATATATACCTGCGCTAAGTATGAACAAGAGTCACGGAAGTTCACACAGATGATCCCTGAACTCATCTCGGGTTGATACAAAGTTCATCCTCTTCTGTCCATTAAACTTCCAGTTTTAGATGAGAGAGAGAAAAAAACTAAAGCAGAATGAAAGAACTCCATTACAAAAGGTGTCTTACATGTTCTTCCAAAATGAGCATATATACCTGCGCTAAGTATGAACAAGAGTCACGGAAGTTCACACAGATGATCCCTGAACTCATCTCGGGTTGATACAAAGTTCATCCTCTTCTGTCCATTAAACTTCCAGTTTTAGATGAGAGAGAGAAAAAAACTAAAGCAGAATGAAAGAACTCCATTACAAAAGGTGTCTTACATGTTCTTCCAAAATGAGACGTGGGCAGTCGTAATGGGTTTTAAATTGTTCATTTCCGACTCTCATTCATGGTGCACAGTGCTACCCACAACTCTCTCTGTTTAAATGGCAATGCTTCTGCTGTGAGTGATATCAACCATTTTGCTTTTCATCACCATTTCTCCAAATCCTCAACCTTTAAAGACATTTCAGTAAACCCAAACATGAAACGTTCATATTTTGTTTTATAAATAAATAAAATTATATAAATGTATAAAAATGTAAGTAATGAAGCAATGTTGCAAGCGTTATAATAAATAATTATCATTATATCGGCATGAAGTGTCATTTATATTGTTTACTGTTTAATGTCAGAAGAACTCCCCTGAACTTCCTCTTTGAAATACTTTGTTGGGAAACTCAAATGTGTGTATTTATTTGTGTGTACAACGGTCTCTTGCAAAGTGGATGTATAGCGTTCTCAGTTTCAATTGCTTAATGTTTATCAATGGTCAAAAGTATGGAGATCACTGACCTAATAAACATCTGAACTAACTTTCTATATATGTGTGTTTGTGTATCCAGGAGGTTTCTCCATGGTGTTTCTGGCCCGCACACACAGTGGAGTAAGATGTGCCCTGAAAAGGATGTATGTGAACAATGTCCACGATCTGAACATATTCAAGCGGGAAAAAGTGTGGGAACAGGCCATTGGTGCCATTCAAATGAACACTTTTTCCCACCAGTCAAAACCAATCACAGTCTAAAATAATTGGGAAATTATTGAACACTGAAGTGGAAGAAATTTATGTTTACTCATTTGTCATAGAGGGATTTCCTCATGCAGGGCTGTTGTTTTTCATATAACATAAGGAGATAAGGACCCCTGGTTGTCAAGAGCCAAAACATTTTTAATGTACTGTAATAGTCAATTCAAGTCTTCTAAATACATACTATTTGTGTGGAAAATTTTGGTTGATATTTTTGTTAAAATATTATTTTGCAGTATAACCATGTTGACATACAAAAATAATGTGCAGGATCTCATTATTGTCCCCTTCTCTCCAAGAAGCATTTATGTAGTCTAAACACTTAAAGGCAGGGTGTGTGATTTTTCAAAAACACTTTAGAAAACTGATTTGGGCCGAATCGCAAAACAAACTGGTAGCCAATCAGCAATAAGGGGCGTGTCTACTCGTGATGTGGAGGAGAGCGCGTTCAGTGCATGGGACGGACACTAGCCGAGCGGAGCGACAGAAAGATAGAGATGGTGGATAAAAAAACAAAAGAGGAAATGTCTGCGGAACGATAAGGCAAGAAGTAGGACCCGTGTAAATATCGGATCAGCTTTCCAGCGCTGGAGAGAACTCAAGGAGCGGAGGCCTGCGATCGGACGCCGAGGTTGCTTTGTTTCTTCTCAATAGGTGAGTAACACCGTGTCTACAACAGCTAAAGTCTGCCAACACTGGACGCGATCAAACGACCATTGAAAACCATTTGAAATGTGTGTCAGCACGTCATAAATAGAACCTGGCAGCAGTTTTCTGTCTGGATTTGTTGCGCCGCACCGCTCACGTCCGTAGACACGGTGTTACATTGGTTTTGCTTTGTTTCACAGAACTAATCGTTGCCTGGGTTGCATACGTATATGTGGGGCGGAGCTATCAGAATAGAGGCAAGACCCTTTTGGGGTAGGGGCGTGTTTGTTTTGGTGATTTCAAATATCAACATTGGCTACCAGAAATCACTTACTCTGCCTTTAATCAAGATTGTCAAATTGACTAGTTGGAACCAGTTTACTTCCTCTTTTTAAGTATTTAAAGCATCAACCCATGGGTTACATTTGTGACATTTAACTTGAAAATTTAGCTTTTTTTTTAATTTATAAAAATATCAACAATGCTGACTGTTTTTAATTGAGGTATTTGGTTGGTGTAAGTATCAAGTTTATGACTTTTAAAAATAACTGTATAATGTAATATAAAGTGTATAATATGTATATATAAAGTACTTAATTAAATTTCCTTCTTCCTCTCTTGCCTCTGTCACTTGACTGTTTGCATTTTAGTGGTTGGACGTATTAACAAAGATCACCAACAGGTGTGTGTGTGTGTGTGTGTGTGTGATGACAGGTAGAAAACATCCTCCTAAATGACCAGGGAAACTACGTCTTGTGTGACTTTGGAAGTGCCACACACAAAGTTCTTCTTCCACATAAAGATGGAATAACTGCAGTGGAGGATGAGATAAAGAAGTAAGAATTTCTACTGAACAGTGTAAAGCTGAAACACAACAGGAATTTACAAATATAACTTTTTGTGTGTGTGTTGTGAGTGTGTGTTGTATGTTTTACTTGCACTGATTGTATAGTTTGGGAAAACATCAAGCACTATTACTGCTTACTATTACACTGAACAAAATTATAAATGCAACACTTTTGTTTTTGCCCCCATTTTTCATGAGCTGATCTCAAAGATCTAAGACTTTTTCTATGTACACAAAAGGCCTAGTTCTCTCAAATATTGTTCACAAATCTGTCTAAATCTGTGTTAGTGAGCACTTCTCCTTTGCCGAGATAATCCATCCAAGTGGAATGTTGGTCCACTCCTCTTCAATGGCTGTGCAAAGTTGCTGGATATTGGCAGGAACTGGAACACGCTGTCATATACGTCGATCCAGAGCATCCCAAACATGCTCAATGGGTGTGTACAGTTCTGTGGCGGTCCTGGGCTGGTGTGGTTACACGTGGTCTGCGGTTGTGAAGCAGATGTACTGCCAAATTCTCTGAAACGCCATTGGAGACTGCTTATGGTAGAGAAAGGAACATTGAATTCACGGGCAACAGCTCTGGTGGACATTCCTTGAGTCAGCATGCCAAATGCCAGCATGCCAATTGCACGCTACCTCAAAACTTGCTGTGGCATTGTGCTGTGTGATAAAAAAAAACTGCACATTTTAGAGTGGCCTTTTATTGTGGCCAGCCTAAGGCACACCTATGCAATAATCATGCTGTCTAATCAGCATCTTGATATGCCACACCTGTGAGGTGGATGGATTATCTCGGCAAAGGAGAAGTGCTCACTAACACAGATTTAGACAGATTTGTGAACGATATTTGAGAGAAATAGGCCTTTTGTGTACATAGAAAAAGTCTTGGATCTTTGAGTTCAGCTCATGAAAAATGGGAGCAAAAACAAAAGTGTTGCGTTTATAATTTTGTTCAGTGTACATTGCTCTCTAGACTTCTTGATGCATTTAATATACATTTAAATGTTATTTATTCCTGTGATGGCAAAGTTTAATTTTCAGCAGCCATTACTCCAGTCTTCAGTGTCACATTATTTTTAAGAAACAATTCCTAATATGCTGATTTGGTGCTCAAGAAACATTTCTTATTATCAATGTTGAAATGGTAAGTAATGCTTAATATTTATGTGAAAACATGATAAATTTTTTCAGGATTCTTTACTAAATAGAATTGATCAATTGAAATGGTAGGTAATGCTTAATATTTATGTGAAAACATGATACATTTTTTCAGGATTCTTTACTAAATAGAATTGATCAATTGACTGTGTTCTTGCTAAACGGTATTAAATTCTTGGGAAATTTTTTTTTTATCCAGACTTAATACTGTGTGAGAGAGATTGCTATGTATTGTTGTAGTAGAGAATGTCACACTTATGCATATTGTAGTGGACAAAATAACAGAATATGAGTGTTGCCTCAGAGTAGCAGTGGAACTCATTGGTGAATCACATTTTTGTTTTGTCCATGTAATCTTGAGGAATTTTCTAAATGTTTTAAGCTTATCTAGATGACGTAATTTCTTGTTACTAGTTCTGGCAGCAGAAAGTTAAGGCTTTAAAACCTTCCATTATTTTCATTCTTCTCTGCTTAGGTACACGACTCTGTCATACCGTGCCCCAGAGATGATTAACTTGTACCAAGGGAAAGCCATCACCACAAAGGCTGACATCTGGGTAGGCACTGAACACAAACATACACACGCGCACACACATTCTCCCCAGTCTCTCTCTTCTCCTTCTCCTTGAGTATCGATACTTTCGATACTCGCGTCAGTATCGATATATCGATACTTTGGATCGATACGCCCATCCCTAGTAAGAACTTCGTTCATCTTCGGACCATCAAAAAAAAACAACAGTAAACTGCATTGTGCTCATCCTACTAGCAAAGAAATGTCTGGTTCTGTCATGAACTGCAGTGTTATCACTCTGTGTAAACAACATGTTTAATGTCTTGTTGTCTAGAGTTCAAGCCCGCTGCCCTGAATTTTAAATGGACTTTATGTAATGGTAAACAATAAACGTTATGACAGTACTGTTACTAAACATATTGAGAAGCATGAATTAAACTCCCACTCTCATCACGATTGTCCACTGACATCTCTCTCTCTCTTACTCTCTTTTTCACAGTATCATCAGGCCATGCATCAGAGCCTTCAGATGCAGCAGCAGCAGATGATGATGCAGCAGCCCATATATCAATCCCAGCAGCAACAGCAGGCTCACTACACTGCCCTGGTGAGACACCTCATATACCTCGAGCCTTAGTGGCAGGACCATTTGGTTACTTTTTAAATAGGAGAATTGCCAGATTTTAAATGGGTGCAGTTCTAAAAAAGAAGAAATTTATAAATGAATGTTGTGAAGGATCGTAAAATGCGTTCAGGAGGATGGTGCTGCTTTAAATGTAAATTTAGCCACCATGTGTTTGTCAGTAGGTTATGCTGTATATTGTATTTAATTAATAATAATTTCCTGGAAGTCTGAAGTTAGACCGTCTTTGCCTTAAATACTAATTTGGCCCCACTAACTGAAGCAGTCTTCTGTGCCAAATTTTTCTCTATCCAAGTGAATGTCGCCCAATCATAACCGTCAATAATTCCTTTGAATTGTATTTACGCTAAAATGGGAAATGTTGTTAACTGACTTTCGCTAAATACATAATGTTAAGGCGGAGCAATTTTTAGCTCATTTTCCACCGAATGGTTACCATCTGTTTAATTTCAGATGCAATCTGCTCCATGCAAAACCATCAGGGGATTGAATGGGGTGGTGAAATCGACCGATTCTCTGTGTTAAATCGTAACATATGAGGCAATTACACTGTAGGGAAATTCGAAGGCCTCTGTGGCGCTCTTTCTGTCTGTGTGTCTCTTTCTATCTCCCTGTGTTATCAATGCCATTTTGTATAGAAAAAGCACTTTTCTCTTTGTAAGCAAAAGTTAAAGGGGTGGTTCACTGTTTTTTTTTCTAGGCTTGATTGTGTTTATGGGGTGCAGTCTAACATGTGTTAATGCTTCGTTTTTTTAAAAAACGCATTATTTTTCACATAATTTACCTTTATTCCACACCGCTCTGTCTCTTCTCTGAGAAACGTGCTGATCATTTCCTTCTTTTATGAAGCCCTTCCCTCAAAAATTGGCGATGGGCTCTGATTGGTTAGCTAGCCCAGTCTGTTGTGATTGGCTAAACCACCTCTAACATCCCGCCCCTCACCTCAGCGGCATGTGCTCCGACTGTATTGTAAACAATGCGTCGTTAATATCGCTTATCTGTTTGAGCCTGATTGAGAAGCAGAGAATATTATTGAAGAGGATCGTGCAGAATCTGTGCAAGCACGGCTTTTAATGGTAGGCCTATGTTTTTTGTTTGTTGTTGTCGTCTCATACTTTTAAATACGCTGTTATTTGTAAATGCTACTGCTTATGTTAGCTTTTAATATACGGTTTTATCCTGATTAAAGCTTTAATACAGTATGGCAACTGCACGCGTGTCCATGTTTAACGCTTCTCATAGCTATGTGAAAATAAGTGTATAATTGTAACAGTTCATTGTTGGAGCTGAGCTGAATGAGAGAGAAAGAGAGATGCAGAGCGTGTGCAGAGCAGGGGGACGTGAGGAACAGTATTAAGAACCTCTGCTTTAGAACATTGATTTTGAAACTTGTGAATCCATTAGAATCGTGATTCATATATGAATAGATTTTTACGTGCACATCTAGTTTTCTCTTCCTCTTCTCTAAAGCAGCACAGCATGGCCTCGCCCCCTTTGCTGCCTTTTCCCGGGGGTGGGGTTTATCTGGGTTTGTTACGTCACAAACCCGGGAAGTAACTTGTAGTCCCTACCAGCCATTTTTGTAGGCATTAAACTGCCAGAATTTTAAAAG